GCATCCAGTACGCCTGAATAGTATGGTCTCGAAATAGATACGAGCGCGCAAGAATATCGTAGGAACAGAGGTGTAATACCTGTTCTTTGTCCTTCACCGACTTACACTGAAACAATTATCTTTCACAAAGTCACATCGTTTCTGTCGCATCTTCCTTCATAAGGAGGAGTAACTGCTAGTCACCGCCGGTTTGAGAGTTTTTCCCACTGCGGGTTTCCCTTCCCGGCCGATGCCCGCAGCACAACACAGTGAATAGCGAAAATGTGCAAATGCTGTTCCGACTAGCTAGCTTGACTCTAATCTCATTTACAAGATGGTCTCTCCGTGTACGTCATCAGCAGAAGCTGAAATGCCTAGAGTTTTCATTAGGGGGTGTATATTCTCGCTCGGGCATATTACTAGCGTACCAACCTCCCCACTACAACGTCCCGACAACACTAGTTCTAATGGCACTGGCCCTGCCATTTAGTACTTACTCCTGGCCTATTACAGCATAGATCTATATGGTTCCACCAAGGTTACACCATACCAATCTCCTGTCCTCGGACTTAAGAAGGAGGGTGATTACTGTTCGACTTGCATGCAATGAACTTAGTCTGTGCACCATAGTCACATCAAGCTCATTCCATCGGAGCTGACAATGAATCCGGAACCAATGCAGTCTATGCTAGTTCATTTCATGGTATAGTTTGCGAGGCCGGCTTATGCCCGATATTGTAGCGATCAGCGGCCCAAGCACCTTACCAGCAGTGACAGGAAGCAACTGGCACCGGAAATTGTCTTAAGCGTATAATGCCTCATTACGTTCTCTGTAAATTCTCTTACTGCTACATTGTGATGCTATTCAACTAATATCAACTATTATACTAGATCAGCATTTAGCACAGGAAATATACTGGAAATAAAATGGGATCCCTTTCGGAAGGAAATAGTTTGAGCCAACAAGAGTATTCAACTTCCAAGTATATCACTGCTTCTCAATATAATTCCCTTTAGGCAACCATCGTTTCTATACATCATTCACGCGCTAATGTTAGTTCCTGTGTCTGTGCCACGGGGAGGAACAGTGACACAACAAGAAGCTAGGGTGGTCCTGCTATCTCCGCAGCAAGGTCCCATGGAAGTCAAGTCTTCGAGGTCAGGCAGCTGCTCATGGATTCCGAACGGAGAGCGAACCAGGTGTTTGGGAGCTTTCATACGCCGTTTTCCATGATTTTCTGGACAGCATTGACGACACAAACGAGGTTACTGGCAGTTATTCCGGCCATCAGATGCATCATGTACTTTTAATGTCTTCAAAAATCCAGTCAGGCGCATTGCTGGCATTGTCACAGCTACATGGTCGTCTCAAGGTAGGATTGACCGAACGGAGATGATGAACTTCTTGTTATATGGTAGTCATTCGCTAGGGAACGACTGTCTGAAGGTGGATAAGGGACCGGTATCTAAAGTACAATTTCTTCGCAACATGTTTTGTAAGTGACATGAAGAGGATATATGTTTCGTTTACTGAAGTATTACACTACAGCAATTTTTTAAGGTTCTGACCGCTAGTGGTAAGCTGTCGAGAATAGACATCACGCCCTAGCCTTACGCAAATCCCGAAGAAGGCGACAGATAGCCTACAGCCCACATCAAACTAGACGTTCACGACATAAGGGATCATGGATGCCCTTGATGCTATTCTGATCGCTATACAACTCTATCTTTATGAGATAATGGTGTTCTAACTCATCAGCATGATATTTAAGCTTCCCGTGAGCGCCGACCCGGCACACATGTTCACCCGTATCGACAGGGATGCTGATAGCTGGAATGCCAACTCACAAACACCAGTTCAACCCCAGCAAATGCAAGCCAATTACATCCAAGCTATAAGCGCCCTCAAGTCAACAAAAGCCTCAACAACAAGTTTCGTGCTTTTGCGAACTTGCCATCCGCCTTCCCACCATGAGAAAACCTCTACTTCTGAGAGACAGACACCATCCAGGCCGGACCTAGAAACCTTCAGTCAACATGCCCAACTACGCCGTCTTAGGCTCAACCGGTAACTGTGGCACCGCACTACTCGAAATCCTCATGAAGCGACCGGACGCACACATCAACGCATACTGCCGCGACAAAGCGAAGCTTTTACGTCTCATGCCCGAAGTCATTGAGAATGAAGACAAGATAACCATATTCGAGGGCAGCATTCACGATGAAAAGCTTCTGGGTGCTTGTATGTACGACTGCCACGCCGTCTTTCTTGTCGTCTCCACAAACGACAATTTCCCAGACTGTCGAATGGGACAGGATACGTCCATGACAGTCATTAGCGCCCTACAAGCCCTGAATCAAGCACCGAAAATTGTGTTACTCTCCTCTGCTACATTGGATGAGCAGCTATCGCGGCATGCCCCGGTCCTACTTAAGAAAGTTCTACTTCGCTCCGCCTCGTTCGTGTATGACGACCTGGTTCGAACGGAACATATCCTGCGCAAGGAAGCGGCGTGGCTGACTACTATCTTCGTCAAGCCTGGCGCACTGTCGGTGGATGTACAGCGCGGCCATGCGCTGAGCTTCACTGAGGAGAATGGCCCGCTGTCGTATTTGGATCTGGCGGCTGGGATGGTTGAGGCGGTGGATAATCCGGATGGGCGTTATGATATGCGCAATGTTAGTGTTGTGAATACGAATGGGAAGGCGAAGTTTCCGTGGGGTACACCTATGTGTAATCTTATGGGACTGCTGAGGCATTACTTTCCGTTTTTGCATCCGTATTTGCCGTCTACGGGGCCTGCTTAGTGTCATGGTATTTACTGGGGCCGTTGGATGTTGGTTTCGTATGGTTTAGCGCAAGAGTTACTAGGTTCGAAAAAGTATAAAGGCAAAGTAACGAGTACATATTCGACGATCAGAGTCACAAATCATCACATATCATAAGTCCCAACTATACCCACAATGATAGACGCACCAGCCATCCACCAACTCGCGACACCAAAAGCACCCGAAATATCCTGCTTGAAAACAGTCCACAGTACCCCGAAAAGCAGACTAGGAGGGAAGAAGCCCAATGCGAGAATCCACCATATCTTCGCCCAGTTCCAGTCTTCCTTGTAAAAAATACCCCATGCCTCGGTGGGATTTATGTACTCATTCTGCAGCTTCCCACATGCCCGTTTCGGAAGTTGTTGAACAATCAAGGTGCTATTTGGGGCAATGTACTGAAGGTTGTTGAAGAAGTCCATCATGAGTCGTGGGCCGATAGGTGGGGAAAGCTTTGGAGGAATCGGACGACAGTCGTATTCCTTTCCTTTAGGGAGGACAAGTTGCTCGGGAGGCATGCAGACACAAGGTCTGCCAGTTTCGCAGATTTCTTCGTGGCATCGAACGTCAATGTAGCGACTTCCGCCATAGGCAAACTGGTGCGTGGTAAGCATATGTGGAGTGTCGGGACATGTCCGTCTTACCTTCATGAAATGGATACTTTGCAAAGTCTTCAGAGACCATATGGGTCTTAGTCGTCCTCGGTGCTCATGGTAGATACGGCGTAGTGTGTAGAACAACTGTCTATCATCTGCTACGCCTATGATAGACTCTTGGCGAAGCTCTACTGCATATCTGCCTCTTTCAAGACATGACAGGAGAAGTGGAGGATGAGAGACCATTTCACCCAGTTCAACATCCATTTGGCTGTCGCTAGTGGGTATAATATTCGAGCCTTTTAACTGGTCCGTGAAATCACTCGAGGGAGAGTGTTGCGTCTGTGATGCGCTCGAAGTTGAATTACAGGAAGAGGTGGAGCTTGTTGGGACTTGCTGGCTAGTACCACTCATATCAGCAGTTGTGACATATGCTGATGACCTCAAGAATGCCTTCATGTCTTCCAAAGCACCTGGCACATGCTCAAAATAATCATCATACAGCCGTTTACCCCGACCCTATGAGATGTCAATCGCAAGACACCGGCTTGTGGTTATAGTTGTTGATTACCCACATTCTTCCATCTGATACGTGTGTAGCCTCGTCGAGTGTCGCTTTCTCTTAGGCCGATACGAGACAGAATTGTCAGTGTTCTGTGGTAGGTCTTGGATAGCAAAGATGTAGTAGATGATGGGCCTTCACGTGAGGTTTCGGAAGTCATGCTCTGCACTTCCGGAGCATTGTCAATGTATTCCTTCGGCGTTACAGCATTCAAGGGGACTTCATCTTCCAACGAACGCAATATGTCTTGCGTCGGGGTGGGTTCGCCTTCCAGCGGCCGATTCAAAGCTATTAATCTTTCCGTTAATCGCCTTGAATGAACCCCAATATCTGAGAATTGACTGTCTGAGAAGAAATAATCATAAGCTTGCAGTTTACGGATAAACTGAAGTTCTCTCCTCGTTCTCCACTGCCGGAGTGTTTCTAAATTGTTCCTCAGGCTGTAGGGGCTTCTGGCCTGTCGAGGCTCGGCGGATACCGTACTTGCGACGCTATTTTACGTCAGCCATATATGTCAGACTGAAGAAATAATTTCACGAATACTCGCTTTTCTTCGAGGGAAGGGCCTGTGGCCGTCTCTGCAACCCGAAATTCGGACACATCACTTGGATTTGGGAACATGGTCTAGAGTGTCAACCAATATGGTGACGTTCTCAATCTGGAAGGCGCTGTCGGCTAAGTATTAGACCAATCAATCGCGAAATTGAAAACTAGACTAACACTGCTCAAAAGTTGGTGCAAACTAAGGAGAATCGGTTTCTTAAGATACTTGGGCATACTAGAAAGTGAAGAAGGAATTGTGGAAATGAGAATGAGGGATAATCGCAAGAAATAGATGAAGGTGGGTGTTGATTGGGCTGCATCGAGGCGGTGCTTGGACGGCTACTCATCCTCGCCCAATAATAATTCATCTGTTCCCACATCCGATGTGGCGGAGCGCCCACAGGGAAATGCGAACATTACAACGGTCCGCCTAGTAGTCAATTCGCAAATCACATCAGATAATTAGTCTAGAAGGCCGGTTAGACAATCGCTCATAGCCTTTTCTGTGTCCTCCCGCTTTCCCCCTTAGTTGTGCCTTGCGCTACACATGCACTGAGAGCTTCACTAATATCAACTAATGCACAAGGCATATCAACATCCATTTGGTCATCACCCAGTGCTGAGCTAGTCGGGAGCTCAGTATCATTCGACTGTGTCTGGCCCTGGGCCACTAGCTGATTAGAAGGAACGGAGCTGGCCGATGCATTGCCATGGCCACTGTCCAGATCAGAGGCGGTCATAATTCTGCGTTGTTTTAGAAACTCATACACGCACATGAGGTCGTAGAGCGTATACTCTTGTCCTTCGGGAAAATATGGGTTCGAACCCTGCTCCATGTTAGCAACCTCAACGCTGACAATGATGTTAACCTTACATTGTCTGATCTGACTAGCATATACTCAGGGGGCAAATCACTCTCAGCTAGTCCTAGACTTGCAAGCATCGCCAATATCCGCCGGTACATGTCGTCTCCTTCTGATTGGTTTTCCATTTTGCTGGATGAGATATTGCTGATTTACGTATGAGTGGGACATGTGTCTCAATCACGTAGAAAGCACCCTGCATCCGGCATGGTTGACCATGATGTATTTATAGGGATATACTCGTTATAATGATTGAGGAGGACCTTGATGCACATCTCGTTCAGAGGCGTCTATGTGACTCTGCCCTTGGGCCTCTTTGTTCTATGTTGAGACTACTATGAACCGGAGGTTTCCGAATATGCAATGATTTGGCTCAGTTTGGCCCCGATGAGGAGCGCCACAACCCTTGAACGACTTGATAAAATAGGGACTTATATCCTGTACACTGGGATTCTACACACTGAGAGGAGAGGCGCTGGGAGGTTGGATGCCGGTATTTTGCGTGCCGGCAGCTGTGCGACATGACATGAATCTTCATTATACATTCGGCCTCTTCCTTCAGAACTAGAATACACAGGAAAACGTTGAGTTATTATTACTATTGGACAAATTAGAGCCTATTACAACCACTTAATAAGCATATTGTAAGCGTTATCATATTGGCATTGACGAAAGTGAACTGACTCTTTCCTGAGGCGGTATTTTCTGGAAAGCAACCTTTGAAGACGTTGCTTCCGGATATTGTCATACACAAACGGCATTATGTCTTTCTCTGCCCATACTTACGATGCATCTAATACGCATCATGCGGTGTATGATCAACTTTGTACTACTGTGAAACATTCATGCCGTCCCAGGCCTATTAAACGTCCGTTACCCACCAGATGACATATCTACTACCGGTTGTACTGCAACCGTTCAATGGTTTCTTCATCCCCGGATCATAACATTTGGGCAGATCATGTGCAAGATCAATAGCATTCTCGAGCTACACAGCAATATTTCCGGACCTAAAATCCCTCAAAACCTACGACCTATCCGTATACCCGACGGAGGACAGCTCAGGCCTAGCGCCTCACCCTCACAGACGCATTCCCGGCAGCGGAACCTCCCATCACACTACCAACAAACACATTGAAGTTATAATACTTGCTCCGATCGGCCACGTCCAAACCACCCTTCCCATTCAAGATAACTTGCCCATTCCGACTAACTTGGAACGTCTGCGCCCCTATTCCCATCGTCACATTCGTTGTCACAATGCCAGCGGGGACATCAACCTTGACAGGCGCGTTGGACCCACTTGTCACTGTTAATGTAGCAGGGCTATTCAACATCGTCGCCACAAAAATACTATCACTAAGCATCTGGAATCCATTTGGCGCAGGCATATTATCCTCGGGGCAGTTCACTCCCTTTGGCGTGGGCCGATACCAGTACACCAGCCCTTCCTGATTGATGATGGGCTTGCTATCCCCAGCTTTGTATGCGGCGATGTAAGGTTTATAGAGGTCGCGCCAGGCGTCATGTGGCATTCCCTTGGCCCATTTTGAAGAGCCATCGTCACTGTGGTTGGCGCTGTAGGGGCCGATATAGTGGGATTCGCCGTAGTCTAGGATAGATGTTATTCTACTAGTTATTATCGGAACAAAGTGGTCTATCTCCTTACCATTCCACGAGATTATTTCGACAAGACTTGGCTTCATGGTTAGCATCTGCTCCCAACGTAGGGTGGGCAGGTTCTCGCATATGAACACCCAGTTCTTGCTGTTGAAGTGCGTAGCAAACCATGGTGAAACCGCTAGCAGACCTTAGCATGGCACAGTGGATTCTGTTGAGGAGCAACTCACGCGCCATATATGTCGTGCCTGCGAGGTCCTTGATAAATCGGTCATCCCAGATTGTTGTCATTGGCCCTTTGATGATGCTGTTTCCCCCGTCTGTTGGCCATGCATACCATGAAAACGCTCCATCAGCGCCCCGCTGGGCATTGCTGGACGAAGCAGCAGGATCCTGGAGGTTAGGTACGGCATGGATAGGATGGGAGGTAGCTTGCTTGACGGGGCCCCAGTTGAAGCTGTCCCCGACGAAGGTGCTCACGACTGCGCCGCCGCGGTATTGCATCTGCGCAGGGTGGCTGGCGTATTGTTGCATGTAAGCGGTGATCTTGGCTGTATCTCCGTTGCTCCAGTAGGCGAAGTCAAACGAGATGAATACTTTGAAGTTGACCTGTTGGGCAGCTTGGTATGCGAGGGCGAGCTGCGTCGGGGTGTACTTGTCAATGCTGGCGCAATTGAGTGCGAATGCATCGATCCCGATGGCTTGCGCGGCTTTCATGTCGGTGATCCAGTCTTCCAGTTGATAGTTCTCAACGATGCCGACCTATCATAGTCAGCATTGATTATCCCGGAAGCTCAGTATAGTGACTATCCACGGACCATGAAATGGGCGAAGACATATTTGGGCTCAGCCTGAGGCTCGGTGAGTCCGACATCAAGAGCCGGGGCTCCCAAGACCGGATTAAGAATGCTCGCCGCAATGGCAGCAAGAACGACAAGAGATTTCCCCAGCATCATTGATGAGAATGGGTATATGAATTCTTGTCGATGCGGTATGATTGTATCATCTCAACAAATCCGAGATAGTGCCTGGGACGCCGATTTTTATAGGTCGGAATTCCTCACAAATCACCAGGCGCCTGTTGCCTTTCACCACTCCCTAGACATCCTACCCCGTGCCTGAAGATTCATACCCCAGACGGAGAATAAATCCCATTGTAGGCTTCTTCCGAGCACAACTCTGCGACAGTAACTTCCCGCTCGGAAAATAATTAAGGTTGTGTTATGCATCAAGCGTTGTGTTACCTGCAGTGGCAAGTAACTGCCCGAAGCCTTTGTGTAATTCCTCCTCTGGGGTTAGTATGGGTAGTACATCGGGTGCACCCCATCCTAACGCAGGTTGCACTCGGGACTTTACGTCCACTTGGTGTTGCTTGGAGGGCTCCTGACCTGATCACATTCATTAGTTTCAAGGGTTTTACCCGAAGGAACTGGCTAAGTTCTGCAATGTGTATGGGTATCTTGGGAGGGGGGGAAGGTGATGATATTGTAGAATGAGGAGGAGCCATCACTAGCTAGATACTATTCCAAGCGGTATCCAGTAAGGCTTATTGTACAGTGAATATATAGAAAATGAAGTACAATTATCAATACTGCCACAGTGAGTATAGAAAAATAATGGCCTAAGGGGTAGGTCTCGACAATTCTAATCTAGCTATGATGTGTTCGTTAGTCTAATGTAACTACAGTAAAACACGAATACGTGCATTTAAAATCAGACCGTCCCTAAGATTGCTTATAATGGAGAATTCTCTATATTAAAATAAATGTAAAACAGTCCAAAATTAACCAGTTAGCCAGAAAAGATTGACCAGTTAGCTAATATGACATTTTAGTGTGATTCACATATACTAGTCTATATATTCTCTGTATTTATAGTTTTTATCTGGTAATTTTAATATGTTATTGGTTATTTCGTTTTACTCAACTCTAGTAAAAGCAACTTTATATGGAAGGTAAGTTAAAAATCAATAATTATGTAGTATTTTAGTTGCTTTAAGTGGAGAATTCCTTTTACCGGAAGTTGCCTATATTCGTGTTTTACTGTAGTTAGAAGGTTGTAGTGCACAGAAAAGAAAACAGCGTTTTCTGTTGGAACGACGTTTTAGGTCAGTAATGAAGTCATAGTAACTTAAACGCTTAAATTCTTGCTATCTAGGTGCACGGAAGGAGCTTTGGAGTCACGTGACTACGTCTACTTAGTAATACGGAGGTTACGTTCCAACACTTTCTTGCGGCCGGAACAAGGTCGGCCCGTAGTCCGAGCTGGATCCAATCTGGAAACTCCCAGCCTCCCCTCTTGACACCTTCTCTCCCTGGCCTCTCTGGCCAATTCATATCTCGCGTTCTCCTCCCACCACCATCATCGCCAGGATCGCCATCTTTCTGTAAAGGAAATGCGTGTTTCTTGCCGTTCTCGCCGCCAGTCCTGCCATTCCTGTGTCTTCATAGGACTCTCTGATCTCACTTTGTGACTTCGGATTGGGCACGTACTCGTGACCAGGCCGCAAGAGCACGTATCACTTTACTCTTATCGTTGCTACCATCCTCTTTCATCTCATTCTCATTTGTTCCGAGTCAGGGCTGCTCAACGTCGCTCCAAAGCCCGGGTGGGAGGGTAACTCGATTCATCGAGGGTATATCGAACAGCTAATGTTGTAGCACAATGACTACGACTTCGCAAAACCCGACCGGGGTCTTGAAGAAGGCCGTTCTTGTTCATGCGCCCGATCTCGATGTTTCCTGCCGTGCCCGCCTTCGTATTATTCATGATCACGCTGCTAACCAAGGATGCATCTCTCTTTCGATCACTGCAGATCTGGCTAACCTGAGCGGCAGATCACAGGTACTGACTTTGAATATCCCTCCAGAAAGTGTCGAACAATGTGCTTTAGCTCGACAGAGCAATAGTGAACTCTGTTCCTCTCACTTCATTTCCATGCTCCCGGCGCCCGTTACCAATGTTTCGGCTGTCTCTACACTGAGTCTGAGCCTGGGTGCGACCGGCATTGTTCTTTGTCCATCTGAACTGGATTATATAAGCCCAGCAAGACCAGGCGACCTTGATATCCATTCATTCGCGAAAATTTGTCAATCCAAATTCCTCTACCTACACTTCTCCAGACGACAATTTGTGAATAAAGAACTTGATAAGCTGGAAATCTTCTCCCGTGCCCTACGCACAAAGAGTCTTGAAACAGTGTCTTTTGACCATTCTCGTCATGGCATGGTCCCGAAAGATTGGCGTGTCTTCAACTTGTCACCCAATCCACCCCCATATCGTCAAGAGCCCCTGTTCGAGCAGTTGGAGCAGGTGGATCCACCCCTATACTGTGAGGCGTCCGTGTCAGAGCAGGTAGTTAGAAAACGGCAGAGAGGTAATTTCTCATCCCACAATCTTAGGTGCTCTGTCGTTCAGTAGTTTAATGTTAGTATCTAGACCCATGGTCAGTGTCATCTCATGATGAGAGCCGAAAGAAAGTACTCCTTCAAGCCCCTCCACCGATAGGCTCTCCCACCGAAGTAAACACGCCGAGTACTCGCTCCCCTTCACCATCCTCCATTCGCCCAACCATCTTTCAGCGTGCTTCCTCTCCTGGTGACCCAGTGTGTAAGAAACTTGCGCGTCTAGAGCATGAGCTTCGTGGTGTTTCTGATGACCTGATTCGCGAACTATTAATCCGATCCGGACGAGGACATCTGCTGGCCGTACCAAAGAACGTAGACCTTGACCTACCATGCGAGGTTCAGAAAGTCGGTTCTACTGAGATCGAGATGGTTGAGCAGCGCCTCAAACGATATGTCGATGAAATGATTGAGCGCCGCCTCAAATCAGGCATACTGGACGAAGTTATCGATAGTGCTGCAAGCGAGTGTCGCGATCAGATCTATGATGAATGCAAAACCAACCAAGCCGAATTTCGCGAACAAGTCGACGATGGTAACTCCGAGGTGCGCAACACAACGATGGAATGTCTAAAGGAAATAAACGAACAGGCACAAAGACACATGCACGAAATAGAAGAGCAAGCGCAACAGTGCATGAAGGATATCGAGGATCAGGGAGTCGAAGTTGAGATGTCTGCGAAGAAAAGTATGGCGGAGCTCAAGCGCTGGTTCAGTACCCCTGCTCAGCCCTTACCTGAAACCATGTCGAACCCTAGCCATGAGATAGATACTACTGCCAGGCGCAGTTCCATTTAGACTCGGTATGGGGTTCATAATTTATCATTATCTTCTGGCAATCACTTGGTCTAAGTCCACATGAAAGGGGTGTAAACAGTAGATTCCAGCTATAGTTATCCCAGTCAGAGGGCCAAGCATAGCTGGGAGGTGGACGATTATGCCTCTAATATCTCAATAGATTTTTAGGTGAATAGATCAACCCATTGACTCATTGCCACTCATTTTCGAATGAAAAGGCCTCAAGCCTAGAAATGAAGGTCCAGTACGCACTTAGTCACATCGTATCGCAAAACCACACTCGCCGTGGGCCTCGGCCGGTTAGACGATCCCGCCCTACAGGTGCTCCGACGCAGCGTGGCCGACCATCCTGCGTGCAAACGTTCTGTGGTCCGAAAGTGATTCGTGGGGGACGCCCACCGGCCCACCGCGTCCGGGAGACCATCTCGCGCGGCCAACTGGTCAACGCTGACTGCAAGAGACTTAAAGGGATGATAAAGAATATATCTCGGTACATCATACAGTATATGACTTCCATTACAAATACTATTTGCGATCCCTTCTTTGGAATCACAAAAACCAGCATTCCTAGCTCATGTCTCAAGTCTTTGATTTTGTGTAGTTATCGTGAAAAGTTCGGTTTACATTGAAGCTTGAGTTGATTAAGCAATTTCAATCTTCTATGTAGATCCTATATTCTAAGTATAGATGAAGACCCATTTAGATTCAGCCCTCAAGCTAAGAAGTTTCAGGCTGATGTATGTTGATTGGAAAGCTTTTTACATGGCAGTGCGACTTTCAATTGACATCGTCTGATAATGAAATGTGTTCACAACTTGCTACTGGAGTTCATCTTCCTACTAAGCTCACCACTCAGCACTTTGTTTCACATGCAAAAGTGACACGGATTCCATATATCTATTTTACCTGTCTTATCTCATGGCACTTTACTCACATCGTTGGTCCCATACGAGAGAGGATTGAGACACATATCGAGCCCAGCAATCTTTAAGATAAGTACAGAAGCTTCCCATCCGGCATTCCATAAGCCCACGCACGTGAGCATTGCGCGTACACTCACTCAAAGATAAATGCCGTTTCTCTGTCGATCATGATGGAGAATGCGATCTGTCCCGCGATGGTACGACATCTCTCCACGAGAGTATTCTCGATCCCCGCGTGCTTCGCAAGCTGACGACGGGAAGGGAGTTCACTCCCGTCCACAATTATTAACTTTGCCTTCATCCCTGTCTGGCCCTATAAATAAAGGGGATCCGTGTAGACTGTATGGCATGATCGGTCTTCATTTACATATATTAGAGTGATTACCTGTCACTAATTTATGCATATTAAGCATTTCCACTCCTCCTCGGATCCGAAAATCATCTCGAGTCTAATTCCGGCATGGCCAAAGCTCATGGACTTTGGTTGACAGATCAAATAATCGGATATTAGCTCGGCATCTGACCATCAACCACCGACTAGCAATGCCCGCCCACTGGTGGCAAAGGTTTTATTTATCATTTGGTACGACGGGCGTCCGAGTGGGAACAATTTAAGCTAAATTAGGCCAAGCTTCACGCCTTGGCAGGGGCAAGGACACGGCTTGAACCCTCGTTCATGAGACATATATTACTAAAGGCTCCCGGGTCATGAGTCGTAGGAAAAAAAAAAAAAAAAAAAAAAGAGAAAAAAAGAAAACTCGGTTCCAAGATTGTTACACACGGAGAATATCGGCGGGAAAGACATCCACCCATCTACCGAGGAATAGA